ATGGTTGTGGTGATAGTGATGGCGGTGGTGGTGATATTGATGATGAAGAAGAAATCACAGGATCAATTCCTATCCTTGTGCATGAAACATTGTACAGTTGTTTTCCCATCATGTGTGACCCCATTTGCGCTTTTATTGGCAGAGATACTAGAGGGGTTTTCTGTTTCCTTCTCCAGCTCATTTTACAGATAAGAAAACTGAAACAAAAAGGATTAAGTGACTTGCCCAGGGTAACACAGCTAATAAGTGTCTGAGATCAGATTTGAACTCAAGAAAATGAGTTTTCCTAACTCCAAGCCTGTCACTCTATCCACTGTACCACCTGGGCACTTAATAAATATTTATTGGTTGATTGAAGCCAGCTCAGAAATTTTACCTCAGATTAGTGTTAAGACATGGAGAGTCAGAGGGAAATCCATACATCTACTCCCCCTCCCTGTTTATTGCCCCTGCCCCACATACATGGAATCAAAAAATGTTTGGGCTAGAATTCTTTAGTGTAATTGTTTTCCCATATATAGGGTAAAAAAATGCCCCCAAAATAAGGCTCTCTCAAATAGCATCCAAGGATATTAGATTCTTTGTTCTTCCCTAAGATAGCAAGGTTGACATAAAGGACCACTGGATTTGGAGTCAGAAGACATCTAGGGCTCCACTCCCAATCCCACTATTTCCTAGTTATGTAAACTCAGGTCTCAGCTTCCTAATCTCTAATATCAGAGTAATAATATTATGTGAGGCTCAGATGAGATAACACATAGAAATAGACTTTTCAACCAAAAATGCCAGCTGCATTTGTTATTCAGAAAAGATTAGCTAAAATATCAGGCAAATGCTCACCTGTTATCTGAGTAATCCTATTCTTAATATTTCTAAAGCAGTATCTCCAAAATGGGCTCACTGCATAACCCTAAAGAGGACTGTGATCAACCAATCAGAAGGTAAGACGATGGATCACATCCCACCCTCTCCTCCTATCCAATCATGAGGCTTTTGTCCAACCCAACCACACCTACCCTAATCCTCCTACACTCTCCTCACTCCTCCAGCTTCTGCTGTGGAAGCTTCTGGCCTCTCCTATTCTAAGACTGTCTAAGGATCCTCAAGGTAATTATAGCCGAACAAGCCACCACCCAGGCACCCACAATAGCTGCTGTGCAGGTGTCACTGGGAAAATTCCACCTCCCCCCAGGATACCCACCCATTCTCCCTGTCCCCCAGTGGCCACTCGGGTGCCACTTAAAGGACAAGCTCTGTGCTCCAGGGTAGGGAGAGGTCAGTAAAAGTCCTGACTCCCCCACCCCACCCCCGCCTTTTTTTTATTTTGGGTGGGACCGAATGAGTAGCAAAGGATGAGCAAACATGGTTGGGTGGTGATGTACACTGAAGACCTCATTACATTACCCCAAAACTCATTGTCTTCTGAATTTCTTTACTTCTGTTGAGGACATCATCATCTCTCAGTCACCTAGGTTCACCACCTTGTGTCATCTTCTACTCCTCACCCCACAATTCTGATCAGTTGCCTAATCTTGTACTTTGTACTTCTATAACCTCTCTTGCATCTGTCCACTTTTCTCTACTCACACAACCACCACTGTTGTTCAGGTCCACGTCACTTCTTTTCTGAGCTCCTCCAAATTAATGTTGTTTAGTCAATTATTCACGTCTGACCCTCACTGGGGGTTTTCTTGGCAAAGATACTGGAATGGTTTGCCATGTCCTTTTCCAGCTTATTTTACAGATGAGGAAACTGAGGCAAACAGGGTTAAGTGACTTGCCTAGGGTCACACAGCTAGTAAATGTCTGAGACCACGTTTGAACTCAGGCCCTCCTGACTCCAGAGTGGGCACTCTATCTACTGTACCACTTAGCCGCCCTGCCTATAGCAAGAGTCTTTACAAGAGCCTCCTAATTGATAATCAAAAGACATGTAGAGAACGGGACCTGGAGCCAGAAAGACCTGAATGCATTTTCTAGCTGCATGATTCTAGGCAAGCCACTTAAGCTGTGTTGGTTTTCTCATCTGTAAAATACAGATAATAATAACACCTACCTCAAAGTACTGTTGTGAAGATTAAATGGGATAATACACATGAAGGGCTTCAAAAACCTTAAGCACTAAATAAAATACTAGCCACTATTGTTCTCTCTCCTCAAGTCCCTCCCCTCTCCATCCTTCGCATAGCTGCCAAAGTGATTTTTTTCTGATGTACAAGTCTAATCAAAGAATCAAATACAGAATTCATCTTTAGCTCATCCTTTTACCATTTCTTTTTAGTGTAAGTTTTTAATGAACATAATTATTAGTAAAGCCCCATATGTAATTAATAAATAAGTAATAAACATTGGAGATGTGTACTTTTTTTTAACTGAGAGGAATGCTTGATCAAAACTGTTTGGGGACTCCTGGTCTCTAAAAGATAGTAAGAATATGAAGCAACAGAAACACATTAGAGAGCTTATCTTAGAATCAGAAAGACCTGAGTTCAAATCCTGACTCACAGCCTCACACTACGTGTGTGACAAGTTATTTAACCAGCTAGTGCTTCAGTTTCCTCATCTGTAAAATTAGGAGATTGGACTCAATGGCCTTTAAGGTTCCTTGTAGTTCTAAGTTGAAATCTCTTAAAAATCTTCCTCCTTCAGGAAGCCTTCCCAGATTGATCAAAAGATTAAAAGTTTTCATCCCTCTACCCATGGTGACAAAGGACAAAGGACTTCCAAGATTTTTCTTACCCCAATATCACTCCCAATTTTTCACTTAACTTCTGTATCGTATTATTCTTGACCTCTGATGTTAATACCTCCCTCCCTCATACTTTTTTTTGCGGTTTGACATTTCCTTCTCCTGCTACAGATAAGGAAACTGAGGCAAATGGGGTTAAGTGACTTGCTCAGGTCACACAGGTAATAAGCATCTGAGGCCAGATTTTAACTCAGGAAGATGAGTCTTCCTGCTTCCAGGCCAGGCACTCTATCCACTGCACCATCTAGCTGCCCTGCTCAAATGCTCAGCCTGGTTTAGTTTTTCTATTCTGCTCCATGAATGTCTTCAGAATGAAAGACAAGAAGGCAGGGACTAGATCCATGCTATTCCATTTATACAACACCTAACAGAGCAACATGTTTAATGATTCACTTAATAAGAGCTATTTGATGCCACCAAAGCAGATGATGAGGAGAGGCAGAGCTGTGATGTAATTCATGGCACAACTGGAAGGGGGTAGGGGTGTGACTCACCTATACTACATGGTCTAGTAAAAACCTTCAAATAATTTCTCTCTTTGACCCCAAGCAAGAAGGTTACTAGGTCTCCAGGCACTAATGTGACCACTCAAGTGCCATTCTGACATGAACACTTCCAGTCATGATGTTTGGGGGCAGTAGGATGCTGAATGCCCTATCCCCGCAGAACAAAATGATCCCTTATTGCCTCAGAGGGGCTCCCGTCCTCCCTTGCTTTCCCTCTCCCCTTGCCTTCAGCTATCCCAGAACCAAATCCTGAACTACTTCATGGCCTATATGGCTCAGATAAGATGGGAATCACCAACTGCATTCCTTGCAGTGAGTCAGAGGACCAACAAGCCTTAATATCTTTCCTGCCACTGCCTATTATAAGGTCCTCCAGGCTTTTCCTGTCTCTGAACCCTGCAGACACTGTCATTACCTCTTCCCCCACTCCAGGTACTAACTTACCAACTGATCTTCAGACAGTCTCAGTGTTCTTGACCTCTATTCTTCCATTGTACCCTTGGGCCTCATAGATCTTTCTGTCCTCTCTATAGCAGAATTGGTGGTGCCATGGATAGAGCATAAGCTTGGAGTCAGGAAGGCCTGAGTTCAAACTCAGCCCCAGACACTTCTTAGCTTTGTGACCCTGGGTAAGTCATTTAACTTCTGTCTACACTGGGAATTAGGTGGTCTGGAATTTAGTCATGATTCTTGCCATCCGATGATTGTGTGACCTTAGAAAAGTTTTGTCTTTCTGGGCCTCAGTTTTATGGTCTGTAAAATGAGAGGGGGTTGGACTAGATGAAATCCTTCCAGCTCTAATGTTCTATGATAATTGAGGTGCTCATGGTTTCCCTGAATGAATGAATAGGAAAGAATTTATTGTCTTAATTTATTTAATTTTATTAAATGTTCATGTCACACCCATCTAACACCAGGCCCACCATAAACGCTCTAGGCCCACAGGTGCTTTTTCCCCCCTAGAGTTCCCTTAGTGAGGGAGGCTGGAGTGGTAAGTAGTTGACTCTTCAGTCTTGGGTTCATAGGATTAAGGGCTGATGGTAACCACGGAGATCAGCCAGTTCAATGCTTTCATTTTACAAATTAGGAAATTGAGACCCAGAGACTTGCTTGTTCAAGGTCATATTAATGTTAAATAACAGACCCCTGATTGAAACTCAGGTCTTTGAGCTACACCCTCAATCATCCCAGAGTAATAGCGACGGGGGGGGGGGGGGGAATAGGAAATAGATGTTGGCCCTAAAGAGTTTCTAGGCAGAAAAGAGCAAGTTCCCTTCAGTGGTGCTAAAAGGAATAATATTGTCAGTGTTGTAATAGAAGATGTTCAAGAAAGGAAGACGGTTAAAAAAAAGGAAGGAAGGAAGGAAGGAAGGAAGGAAGGAAGGAAGGAAGGAAGGAAGGAAGGAAGGAAGGAAGGAAGACCATTAGTGGAGTGGCCCTAGATGAGAAATGTTGGAGGGAGCTATGGAAGGAGAGAGAACCTAGTAAGAAGCAAACACAGAAACCTGATGTGAAACACAATGCAATTTATTGAAGGCAGAACAGATGAGCCAAAAGGCGTTTGCGTTTTATGTACATCAGAGCAACAGTGGCCTCTCGTCTTCGGAGTGAGGTGGGAGGAGACCCTAGGAGTGCAGACAGATCACCAAGATTAGCCACAACCCAGGCGCATGGATAGGGACTGGAGGGGAGCTGTTGGAGGCAGGGAGCCGAGGTCAGAGGGGCGGCGGAGCTGGCCAGGGTGCTTATCTGGAGGAGCGCTGGTTGGATGACTGAGAGTACTTGACGGTGCTGCTGCTGCTGCTGCTGCCCCCGCGAGTGCTGCTGGAGCTGATTCCACCCCCGCTGACCCTAGAGCGCCCTCCAGAGCCAAAGCTGCTGCTGCCGCTGCCAAAGCCGCTACCGCCGCCGAAACCGCTGCCGCCGCCGAAGCCACTGCCTGCTCCGCGGCCGCCGCCGAAGCCGCCGCCGTATCCACCGCCGGACACGGAGGTAGAGGTACTGCTGCTGACCACAGCTGCAAGGGGAGAGAGTGAGACGCCCGACAGGTCAAGGTCATTGCAGCCAGAGCTCGCTCAAGAATCCCACCAAGCCTTGGCAAACCAGGGGAGACACTCTTTATCGTCATCATCAATCATCAGCAACATCACCATTATCTTTATCATTACTACTACTACCCTATTTAGTTTATTATTAGCTAGTGGTACCGTGGTATAGGGGAGAGAGCATCGCATCAGGAGACCTGGATTCAAGTCCCAGTTATCTCTTATTGTTGTGTGCCCTTAAACAAGTAATTTAACTTCTCCTGGCCTCAGTTTCCTCATGTGCAAAAATGAGGAGGTTGGACTGTCCCTTCTAAGGTCCCCTCCAGGATTAAATCTTATGATCCTACTTAATGATACAATGGCCATTTACAAGTAATAATTGATGCCATCATACAGGATAACTTCATAATTAATTCACTTCCATATTGTTAAACTATTGTGAATTATCAAACAATTACATTATAGACTCGGCTAGCTCTCAGTTTTCAGCTTTACCCACCAGAGAGCTTTAATCCCAGGCTGAAGTCCCTCTACCTCCAGTGCAGCCTGCCCCTGAGGCAAGCGGCAGACTATCCCCCTAGCCAGGGGTCATAGGCTCATTTCTCTACATCTGGAAAGGACTTCAGAGAGCATCTAATCCAACACTCTCATTTTGAAGAGGAGTAAACTGAGGTCAAAGACAGTTAAATTGCTTGTTCAAGGTCATATAAGTAATAAAAATAGCTAGCATTTACATCGTGCTTTAAAATTTGCTGATTGCTTTTAATATGTTATCTCATTTGATAGGTAGGAAATATAAATTCATCTAATACTGTCTGGAACCCCTTCCCCCGAATTTAAAAAATCAATGTGATATCCCCAGAATGACATACGTTCCCCTAGGAATGTTTTTTGGGTTTCCATTGCTCCCCTTCATTGATAGATAATCAGGAATTAAGAGTTATTGTCCATTTTAATTTTGGTTACTTACAGATGCTCACAGGGTTCTGGAACTCTCCAGACATCCTATTAGGAGAAGCAGGAGAAAAGTGATTCAATCATATAACAAATATCTTTCAATGTCATGGCCCAGGGTGAAAAATATCGCACACCATTGTTGGGAGCCCAAGCTGAATTCAAGAATCTGGCAAATCAGTCCTTGAGGACTAACTTGAGACTGGGCAAAGGCTAACCTGAAGAGGGAGGGGGAGTTAATAAAGGTCGGAGCTTCTTTGCAAGTTATATCTAAGAGTTGAACCTCTTTGTTCAAGTGGCTACTCTCCAACATTGGTTTAGTGAATGAGTTTAAGGTTCAGAGGAGATTACCCACCTGCACTCCTCTCCCTCCAACAGCTTCCTGTAAGTGGCAATCTCAACATCCAGGGCCAACTTCACATTCATCAGTTCCTGGTAGTCTCGAAGCAGGCGGGCCAGGTCATCCTTGGCTTTTTGCAGGGCACTCTGTAATTCCTGGAGTTTGGCCTGAGCATCCTTGAGGGCCAGCTCCCCACGCTGCTCAGCTTCAGCTATGGCTGCCTGCAGGTTGGCATTCTGGAGGACAGAGGAGACAGGAGAAAAGATTATCAGAGTGGGAAATATGTCCCAGCACAGGGTACTTCAGGGAACTCTCCAGGTTTGTCTGAATGCCTCTATTGGGAAGTGATAGATGTAGCAAGATAGAGGTAGAGGTAGAAATAGAGATAGAGGTAGAGCTAGAGGTAGAGAGAGAGAGATACAGATAGGGATAGGAATAAGGATAAGGATAAGGATAGGGATAGGGATAGGAATAGAAATAGGGATAGGGGATAGGGAGATGGAAATGGAGATGGAGATGGCAACATAAAAGCCAACATCACCACCACTTCTGTGCTATCTTCTTAGTTGTTCCTTCCTTTGTTATTCCAAAGATGTTTGAGAAGAAGACATCTAGAATTATTTAGGCAAGCCAGGGATTTGGATGAGATGACCTCTGGAGGCTTCTTTCAGTCTAGGATCGTGGAATACAGTCCCAAGGCACCCACCATCTAACTAGACTTTCACCTACCTGTTTCTTGACATTCTCAATCTCAGCCTGAAGCCTTTGGATCATCCTGTTGAGTTCCATGATCTCACTCTTAGTGCTTTTCAGGTCATCACCATGCCTGCCAGCCTTGTTTTGCAGCTCTCCTAGCTAGAGACAAGAAAAGTAGATGTTGTGTTTCAGGAAGGGACATGTCTTTGTCCTGGACCAAACTTTGGCCAGCAGTTAAATCACTGACCCAGGGATGTCCATTTTGACCATCTTCTTTGCACATACCTCCCTGAGTATGCAGAGCTTTGTGGACAAAGGGAAGCAGAACTGCTGAGGGTGTTCAATTCTCCTGTCTCAATGAGATAACCTTGTCATCTTTCCTTCTCCCACTGCTTCTCCCTTCACCTTTGCTTCATATCCTCAAGACCCTCTCTACCATGGTTCTCAACCTTTTTTTGTACCTTGGATTCCTTTGGCAGATTTATGGGACCCCTTCTCAGAATAATAATTATTGCCTACATTTATAATTGAAGGAAATGCTAAATTTCAGCTCAAAACTAGTGAAAATGAAGATGTATTTTTCCCATCCAAGTTCACAGACTCCCTGAAATCTATTCATGAACACTAAGTTAAGAACCTATGCTGTATACTCATTCTAAGTTGCTAAATAAAGAAAAATCTTCACTCTGATCAAGCTTCATAGAATTCTAGAAATCTAGGGTCATTTGTGTGCAACATAGCCAGGAAAGGATGAACTTTTCCTTCTAAAAGGCAAATCCTTGCCACTGGACAAGGCGAATAGTGGGGGCACTCCAGGGATTGATGAGGAATGGTATGAAAACATTAGGGATCAAGGAAGGAGAGCTTCTCCCCAAAAGGATAAATTATCCATTGAGCCCTAGGTTAGAACGGTTTCCAGCTGAAACAGATTCCTGACACCTACCTTAATCTGGTATAGGTCATTGGCCTCTGCCTTGCTCCTCTCAACCATCTCTTCATACTGTGCTTGGACCTCAGCAATGATGCTATTCAGGTCCAGGGAGCGGTTGTTGTCCATGGAGAGGATGACAGAAGTGTCGCTCACATGGGTCTGCATCTGGTTCAGTTCCTGTGGGGTAGAAATGGTCCTGCTCAATCACTGAACTTCTAGAACTGGTGTGAAAGGGAAGATCTCTGCTTCAAGAACTCTGGCTTATACCTCAGAGTCCTCCTCTATTCTGTACAAGCTCACATGGGACCAGGACGAATACAATCTTGTTATGAGACTTGCCATCTGATTTTTACATTTCCACTAAAAGTATACTGCCTGATTTCTCTAGTCCCTGCTTTCATGGATCTTACAATCCAGTAAACTCTACCTATCCCTTAATTTATACATTATCAATTGGTTTTTATTTTATAGGTATTCATCTTATCTCTCAAAAAAAGTAAGCTTATTAAGAGAAGGGACTATTTCATTTTTGTCTTTGTCTCTATGACCAGATGTGGCACATAGTGGGTGTTTAATAAATGCTTGCTGCATGAATGGGAAACTTTGCATGGAGCGGAATGTAGCCAATAATTCTATTGTACCCCCAGTGCCAAAAACACAGATGTTCAATACAAACTGGATACTTAATTGGGAGTGAGAAATTAGCAGGTGGGGATTTGAGCCCTTTGGTTCTTGCTATTTCCTATCTCAGACTTAAGACCAGGATCCAGTGATAAAGAAGTGGGAGCAAGGACAGCAGAGGAGTCATCTTCAGGGCCTCCATCACAGGCCTGAAGAGACCCCTTAAGATAGAAAGCAGGAAGCATCCTTACCGCATCATAGAGAGTCCTAATGAAATTGACTTCATCAGTCAGACTGTCCACCCGGCCCTGCAGCTCGACCTTGTTCATGTAGGAAGCATCCACATCCTGGAGGAAAGAGAAGAAAACACAATAGGGATCCATCTGTAATACTGCTCAGCCAATGAGCTGCAAATGCAACCGGAAGTATGGAAGTTAGTGCCATGGCAAGATTGAATATAGAAGAGTCTATTTCTTTAAGTGAGCTTTCAATGGTGCCTTGATCAGAGGCAGGGGGCTGGTTGAGTTGACCCCTTAGGACTTCTTACAGGCCAAAAAGTTCATGACATCCTTGACCTTGGAGAAGGGGACAAACCAGGTTTTGTAGTTAATTCTCTAGCTGCCTACTTAGGTGTGTAGGAAAGAAAGTGAGAGAGATGTCCTCCCAGCTCCCCAGCACTGCATACACAAACACACACACATACATACATACACACACGCAGCCTGTGACTCAGGACCCCAGAATCTCATTCCTTTCTTATTCACCTTATTTTTTTACTCTCCTTTTAAAAAAAAATTATCATATAGCAAATTTCTCACTCACCTTCTTAAGTGTCACAAACTCATTCTCGGCAGCTGTGCGTTTGTTGATTTCATCTTCATATCTGTAGGGATGAAGGAGAAACCAGATTGGGTTTGGCGTAATGATAGCACATTTACATAGTACCTTAAGGTTCTAAAAGTAATTTTTTTCACACTATCCCTGTGAAATAGGTCTTGCAAGTATTACTATCCATATTTTACAGATGGGGAAATAGGGACTCAGAAAGCTTGAGTCCTCTCAAGGAATCAAGAAAAGGGGGTACTGTGGTATAGCAGAAAGAGCACTAGATTTGGACTCAGAAGACCTGGGTTCAAATTCTGACTCTATTCTTTTTTTATTTTAATTTTTTTTTTAGGCAATTGGCATTAAGTGACTTGCCCAGGGTACACAGCCAGTAAGTGTCAAGTGTTTGGTCTGAGGCCAGATTTGAACTCAGGTCCTCCTGACTTCACGGCTGGTTCTTTATCCACTGGGCCACCTCGCTGCCTTTGACTGTACTTTTTACTATACCTAGCTGCTAAACCACCAGGAGGGGAAGCTCCCAGTGTGGGGCACTTACTTCTTCTTGAAGTCTTCCACCAACTCTTGCATGCTCCTCAGCTCTCCATCCAGTTTCCCTCGCTCTCCTTGGAGCCCATCCAAAGTCCTCCGAAGGCTGCTGATGTAGCTCTCAAAGAGGGGCTCGAGGCTGTTGGTGCCCGTGACAGAGTTGATGCCCTGCTGCTGAAGCAGGTTCCACTTGGTCTCAAGAACCTTGTTCTGCTGCTCCAGGAACCGAACCTGTAGAGCATGAAGGCAAACAGCATCAGGCTACCAGACTGCAATGGGAGAGAAAGAAGGAAACATCCCCAGCAGAAAGGCTTGGAATCTTTAGCCTGGGCAATGGCAGGAGTCCAGGGCTCTTGTCTATGCTGGGCAGACAGAGAAAATTCCAGGATTTTTTTTAAGTTGGAAGGCCTCATAGAGATTCTTTAGTTTAACTCCTTTGTCTTAGAGTCAAGGAAACTGAGGGGAAGTAGGGAAAAATTACAGGTAATAAGTGAAAGTCAGAATTGGACCTTGTTTTCTTATGGCAAACCCAAGGCTCTTCCTGCTGCAATCACCAAACAAGGAGAGCAAGGCAAAGTGAATGAAAATCAGCTCTGCTCAGAGGCAGAAGGATGGATGAATTGACTCCTTGCCATCCCTGGGAACTCCATGACTCATTCGCAAAAATTTAACAGACTGAGTTAAAATACACACACTTCATTCTCAGGCTTCTTTGAAAACTCTTGCTGTGGGTGTGTCTACAGAGCTAGTGGTAATAATACTGATTGACATGTTATATTGAGGAAGATAAACCCTACTTCGACTCAGACCCTGGGAGAGGACAAATCACATTGGCTTCAGGAGAATCCCTGAAATCCCAGGTCTCTTTTGGACCAACCCAGAAAGAGGTAGAATGACAAGTGAATCACTGGTTCTCTTTCCTCTTTGTCCTTTCTCCCAGGATGAACCTGTTTCCTTGGCATGTAGCCCCCACTTTGAAAATGGGCCTGGAAGCTTAATCAAGTTTAACTCATATTCAATTTAGAAAGAAATGTAGCACTCCTTAGAACAGAAAATGCATTTCAAGAAAACATTAATGAGAATGCATTATAGGAGGCGCTGTCTTAATTAAAATGTTTTTTTTTCTCAATTTGGTCAACTCTAAAATATACACATCACCAAAAGCTAATGATTAACAGGGAGGAAAATATTAGATTTAAGATACACTGCACATACAAGGTTTTCCCCTTATGGGAGAATTTTGACTCGATCAAAATTCACCAGGTCATTGTCTGTCTAAGTTCTGCTGTTCACTGGACTATGAATCTAGCCCTGCCCTCAATCTAGCAAGATCATTAGTCATAAACAAGGGGAAAACACCATATTTGGAGTCAGGAGATCTTAGGTTCAAATACTGAGTACCTGTTTGACCCTGGACAAGTCACTTTCCCTCTATAGATCCCAGTTTCCTCATCTGCAAAATGAAAAACCTGCACATGAGCTCTAAGGCCCCTCCAGTTCTGAATCCTATAATGATGATTTCAACTACTACTCCTCTAATTATTCTCTCACTTCCCCTACTCATGATACCCACTCTAGAAATGTACCAGAACAGGTTCTCTAAATGCCAGGCACAAGTCCCTCACATCAAGGACTAGGCAAAGGGATCTGGGTCAGAATGTCACCTTGTCAATGAAGGAGGCAAACTTGTTGTTGAGGGTCTTGATCTGCTCCCGCTCCTGAGTCCTCACAGCCCCAATCTGGGGGTCGATCTCCACATTGAGGGGTTGCAGGAGGCTCTGGTTGACAGTTACTTCCTGGATCCCACCAGGGAAGCCACCAGGTCCAAAGCCACCAGCCCCTCCAAAGCCACCACCACCTCCAAAGCCACCCATGCCACCAAAACCACCAGCTCCTCCAAAACCACCAGCTCCTCCAAAGCCACCAGCCCCTCCAAAGCCACCAGCTCCTCCAAAGCCACTTCCATAGCTGCTGCGTCCACCACCATAGCCAAAGGCTCCACCCCTGGAACCACCAGCCACACTGTAGGAGATGCTCCTGTTGCCACCCAGGTTGTAGAGACTTTGGCTGCCAAAGCCACCTGCCCCACTACGGGACACACAGGCTCCTCCACCAGAGCGCCCGGTGCGGGCCACGCAGCTCATGCGGCTGCTGCCAGAGAGCACAGCCGAGCGGCCAGAGAAGCCCTGGCTCCCACCGCCTAGGGTCTTGCAGACTTGTCTGTTCATGGTGAATGAATTGGATGGATAGGAAAGCCGTGAGGCAGGAGGAGCAGTAATACTGAGACAGACAGCAGAGTAAGAAACCAAAGGAACTGAAGACCTCTGCAGCACCAATCCCTTTATATATGTTTAGAGAGCTTGCTAGGCTCAAATGAGGGAGAGATAATTAATCCCAAATATTCATGGGCTGGGTTTGCCTGGGAGGCAATAAGTTTGTTCCAAGCTTCCAAACACACCTTGAAAATAATCTGAAATGGTAAAAGTGCTAAGGTGACCGAGCTGCCTGGAGAGGGTGGAGAAGTGGGTGGCTCCCAGGGTTGCCCCATGCTTGGGCAAGGCTTTGTCTCTTCAGGGCCCAGAAGGCACACTCCTCCACATCAGGCTATTTCAAGAAGCCATATCCCCATTTATGTCAACTGCCCTGGGGCCCTGGCACAGCTGGCCAGAGAGAGCCTTTGGAAGAATGGTAGGGCTGATCTGAGCTTGGAGTTTGGTCTCCTCAAGGGTCTGGCCCGCTCTCCAGCACAGCCTGTATGCAAAACCCTGTTTGGGCTTCCTGGGGGAGATAGGGGACAGAGGAGAGACCCTGAGGGAGGAAAGGACATGGGTAGGTCCCAAATCACCATGTCTAGAGCTGGAAGAGATGGTAGAGCCTCTAGCCCAATCCCCTCATTCATTTTACATGTGCCCCGATGACTTATCCTAAGTCACATGGATTGTAAATAGCAAAGCTGGAATTCGAACCCAAATCTTCTGATACCAAACCCAGGAGTACTCTTTCCTTCATAATCTGGCTCCAATCGGTTTTTCCCAATTCATTTCACATTGATTCCCCCTCAAGCCCACAATGTTTCAATCACTGTATTTGCTGTTCTTCACCCTCAACATTTCTCTTGCCTTCATTCTCTATGCTTAGAAAGCTCTGCCTCTCCCCTTCGGCCTCATGGAATCCCCGAATTCCCTTCAAAGCTCATCTCAGGACTCACTTCCTACAAGAGGACTTTCTGATTCCCCCGTTGTTGGTGCAGGAATCTCCTTCCCTAAATTATTTTCTATATTCTTTTTTACAAAGCACTTAGCACAATATCTGGCACTTCGTAGTGGCTTAATAAATGTTTATTGAATTGAATTGTAAATATTTTATATTTATCTTTGTACAATAGAATATAAAATCCTTAAATATTTTAAGTATTTTTTTTCTCTAGCACCAAGCACAATCCCTGACATGTGTGGAGTATGTCATAGATACTTGTAAAGTTGAATCCCATTTAACTGAATTTCACTACAACCCAATTCAACCATCCAGGTATTTATTTCCAAGCATTCCATTGAACCGAGCCTTGAAGAGAACTAGAGATTCCATAAGGCAGAAAGAGAAGGTGGAGAGCATTCTAGGCACAGAGAATGGAGGAAGAAGACAGAATGTTGAGGATGCAGAATAGGACAGCTTCCCTTCTATACACACTTGAAACACCAGGAGGAAAAATCTCACCTCTGCTGGATTTTTAGTTTGACTGGAATATAAGTAGTTCTGCTGGATTTTTAGTTTGACTGGAATATAAGTAGTATGTTTACGAGGAAGCAATGAGAAATCAAAGTGAATTTTTAAAACTTTTTTTCATCCAGATATTTTGGGTGTGGTATAGACATAGTCACAAGTACCAGCACTGAGAAATAGGGAACCAGGGAAGGATATGAATTCCTAATGCTCAGAAAGATGGAAATGGACCAGCCAAATTCCCTTTCTGAAAACAGGTGGGTTCCCATTCTACTCTGATAACCATTTAAAACGTCTTGATGAGTATTATGAGCACAGATGTAAAGCAATTCTTCCTTGTCTCTGATCTCCCGGATCTCCATTCCACTTGATAAAGCATCATTTTTGAAGGTCTGTGTTTAAAGGATGAGGGAGGGAACAAGCACTTGTTAAGTGCCTACTATGTGCTAAGCACTTTACAAATATTCTCTCATTTGCTAATATTATTGAGGAAAGAGTCTGAGGAATGAACCCAGCTAAAAGCCTGCTCTAGCCCACCCTGGCCCCATTCCCCCATTCCCCCATGGAAGCAGATAAATCCCGTGAGACAGAAGGCAAGGGCCTTCTGAGACCCTCTGCCCTGAGGAAGTTAATGTTTTCTTTGTTGACAGTTTGCAATGGATCAGGGATTCCTCTAGCTAGACAGTGTTGTCTGCCAGGCAGGGCCTCACTTCAACCATTCCAGATCAATGAACATCGATTCTTTTGTGAAAGTTTTCCCAAACTTGAATCATACGTATTTTGTAGCTACCATGCTGTGGCTGGCAGTCTTCCTTATGTCTAACCTCAATCCCCACTGCTTGCTGACCAACCCATGTCCTCTCTGCTGTCAATGGGGTTAGAGAAAAAGCAAATTACCTTCCTCCATATCTGGGGTTCTTACCCTTATTTGTGTGGCACAGACCCCTTTGGGTGGTGTGGTGAATACTATAGATCTTTTCTCAGAATTATGTTTTTAAGTAATTGGAGGAATTGCTGAATTTCAGTTAGAGGTAAATGGAATTAAAGATGTAATCTTTGTTCCCTCCAAGTTCTTAAACCTCCCTGAAACCTTCAAAGATTGAAATAAGTGAAGGACAAAGTGCTCCAAAAGACATTGGCCTGAGTGTCAGGAGGCCTGAGTTCTAAGCCCGAATCGGTCACTAATTTACTATGTGACCTCAAGCAAGTCACTTTACTTCTATAGGGCTCATTTTCCTCATTTGTAAAGTGAGAGATTGGGTTACAGGTCCCTTCCGACTCTGGCATCCTGGGAGCCTACAGTCTTGTCTCATTAGTAAGGATCTCGGGCCATTTGCTGACACTCAAGAGATGCCAATTTAGTCATTATTGCATTATGCAGGTGCTGATTAGCCCTACAGAGGGCTAGCCAAGTCCTTTGTGTCTCTTCCTTTTCCCTTTCTTCTTCTTGCTACCTGCCTTGCCCTGTGTATTCAGCCCCTGCCTGACAGGTAAAGTGAGATAGGTAAAGAGAACTCCCATCCAGTCTGGGATGTCTGGGAGGTGGGGGGACCAGCAGGAGTTCGCTCTATTGGCTACTGTGTAATCTTGTCATAGCTTTCAAGTCTCTAGAACTTCTCTCATCCCAGATCCCTGGACTTGGCGACATCACTGAACATGTCTGATTCAGAAAGACAGAGATTCTGCCTGCTTGGTGTTTTTCGGAGGCTTAGGGACTGGGTTTGGTCCCTCAAATGACTTTGCTCTATGCCTCAGGAGCCTGCCAAGCTGACTGCTTATTTCTTCAGGATGGATCTTTTTTAATTCTCTTTGCAGTAAACTCTCTTCTAAAACTTTAGCCAGGCCTTGCCACTGGGGCAGTTGGCATAGCCCTGGCAGCAGGCTAACTCTGAATGCTGATGTGGATTCCATGGAGAGGATAGTAGTATACCAAGCCCAGTGCCAAGAGTTTTTCAAATATGGGAAAGGATTTCTTCTGAAGTCTCCATACAGGCTCAGACCTTGGCAAAATTATTTATCAGTGAAGCTTGTCTTGGACACCCCCATTCTGAGCTCTCCTCCCTCCCCCACTGGTATCCCTATTACTTCCCCTAATCTGGGCCATTTTATTATTCTCTCTCTCGCGCTCTCACTCTTGCTCTATCTATCTTAGTGTGTGTGTGTATGCGCCTATGTGTGTTTGTCTCACTCTGTCTCTCTGGCACTAGTTCTGTGACCTTGGGCAAGCCACTTACTCTCTGTTTGCCTCACTTTCCTCATCTGCAAAATGGGGATGATAATAATAGTGCCTACCTTCCAGGGTTCTTGTGAGCATTAAATCAGATAATATTTATAAAGCACTCAACATAGTGCCTGACACAGTGTAGGCACTATATAAATGGTAGCTATTACTACTACTGCTACTAATGCTATTACTACTACTTCTACTACTACTACTACTACTACTACTACTACTACTACTATTACTACTACTGCTACTACTACTACTGCTGCTGCTGCTGCTGCTGCTGCTATTACCACCACCAAGGAAAGGGTAGTCCCCTTCGAGGTCTTCAGTGACTTAAAGAACTGCTTGCCATCTTCTTAGGAAGAAAAACAGTCTTGGAGAAGTAGGTCTAGAAAGAAATCTCCAGTCATCATCCACAAAGAACTTGTCAAGACTCAATCACCGCTATCACTGCCTTTGACTGGGACTTCCCCAGGCAACAAAGGGATAATTCAACTCAGTTCAACTCCACAACATTTACTAAGCAACCCACATGTGAACACAAGTCTTCTGACTCCTGATTCAGTACTACTTCAATTCAATTCAACAAATGTTCACAAGCACCTAACATGAGCTAGGTGCAGGTCTTACAGAGCTAGGTGCTGGGGACTAGACCATCCTTGGGTGAGCCCAGTGCTTGGGAACATACCAAGCATCCTCCGCCTGATGCAGTCTCCTACATGGAAGCCAGGGAGGTGAGCCTGCCTCTAGAGGTTTGTGATGGTGTGGAATGGAGAGGCCCGGATTCCCACAGGTATGAACAGGTGTTCAGTGACTATTTCCACTCTGTTAAGGTGTCTAAGATTCTTATCCAGCAGCTACGCCACGTCTGGAGGTGAATTTTGGTGAGGGCAAATCCTCTGAGCCAACTGCTTTAAGTTTGAACCCAATTTATTCAGTATCTGAAGTAGTTGAGGTCAGAGTATGTCCCTGCCATTTCAGGAAAATGTTTTGATTGAAAAAGAGAGACTAGATGTTGAGTAATTAAGAAGATAGTGGGGTACTAATCAATAGTGTCAATGATATTTACTAACACTAGAGATTGATACTGCAGAGAACATACCAGAATGGGGGCTTAAGATGATAGCCTCAGAAAAATAACCCCCAACCCCTTAGTGTCACCTCCTAGAGCTCTGAGGGGGTGATGCAGCTGCCCTCTGGAACCCCAACCTACCATTTGTCCTGTTACAGACTTCCCAGGGTCCACATGTGTGATAAAAGACAGAAGCAATACATCTCTGC